TCTCTGTAGCTTTGCGCCTTTCCTGGAGCTCACTTGGTAGCCCAGGCTGGCCTCGAACTCACAGAGATCCGCCTGGCTCTGCCTCCCGAGTGCTGGGATCAAAGGCGTGCGCCACCATCGCCCGGCGCATTGGATATTTTCTATGCCAACATCAGGACCCAACTTATTTTTAAAATATAAACTAACACTTCATCTCTAAAGAAGTCATGCTGCCTCTTTAATACACATTTACCAGAGGTGGAAACTTTGGGGATTTATGAATGTGTTGCTATTGTCAACTTGATGGGATTTAGCCTGCCCATGGGAGAACACCTCTGGGTTTGTCTATGAGCCTAGGAAGGTTTAACTGAGATAGGAAGAGCCACCCTAATTGGGGGTGGAACCATTCCACAGGCTGGGGGAGGGGGGAGTCTCAAATTAAAAGAAAAGGAGAAAGAGCCAGGCTCAGCATTCATCTCCTTGACTCCTGCCTGCAGGTGGGATGTGACAGCTACTTCACGCTCTGGCCGCCATGCCTTCCCCAGCATGACAGACTGTGTGTCCGCAAACTGTGAGCCAAAACCCTCCTTCCTTAGGCTGGCGGAGGGATGAGAAAGGTTAGCTAATACACTGTTTATACACATAATTAGAGAAGAAATGAAAAAGTCAATTCACATACTTTCTGAAAACTGCAAAGACCCCCATTCCAGCCAGAAGGAGGATAGCGAGGATCACGGATGGAATAATCACGGTGGTGATATTCATTCCTGGAATGAGAAAGCCACCTCGTTAGAACACCAATCACCTATAAGCAAAACCCAGGGTCGAAAAGTGCTTCAGAGCTGGGTGCAGTGGCGAACAACTTTAACGGCAGCACGCGCCGGGCAGAGGCAGGAGGATCTCTGTGGGTTTCAGGCCAGCCAAGGATACACACAGAGACCCTGTCTCAAAAAGCCCCCAAATAAAACTCAATAAGCAAAACTGCTTTCTTGACAGGGAAAATGACTATGCTCGGCCTTTACGGTGTGACAAAATAAAAGGGGATGAGGTACACTCTGAGCCGAGTCTAGAAAAATAAAATTGTTCCTCCACCGAGAAGGGCAGCTTTCCATGCTCCTAGGATGAGCCTCTTGCCAGCTTCAGGTTAATTCCCCCAAATCAGGATGGGACAGCTGAAGGGAGGAAGCTGCATGCAGGGCTCCCAGCAAAGCTCTCATAGTTTCCACAGCTTGGGGGAGGTTGGACAGGTAGGTGTCACTAAGCCTGGGGAGCCAAGGGCTCCCATTGTCAGAGCTGTGGCTTCCCTGAAGAGGAAATGCAGCCTGATAGCCTCAAGCAGCATTTCAGTCGGCTACGTTTCTCTATTACTTTTTGAATGCCTTGAAGGAAGAGGCAAGCCTGTCCCAGAACAGACCCCTGGCTGTGGAAACTGTAAACAACGGAGGATATCACTCTACACCTTTTCCTTGTGATCCTTGGGGAGAAAATAAAGGACAATCGGAAGTAAAAATGTTAGCATGGCATGGTGGCACACGCCTTTGATACCAGCACTGGAGAGGCAAAGGCAGGCAGATCTCTGTGAGTTCAAGCCCAGCCTGGTTTATATAGCTCATGCCAGGCCACCTAACGTTACATAATGAGACCCTGTCTCAAAACAACAACAACCAAAGTAGCAATGTATAGTTCATGAACAAGAGGTTAAAAAAAAAAAAAAGATGGATATAAAATACAGGTAAATTCCAGTGAAATTGGAATTAAATTAAATTCATAAGAGTAAAATTTCAGGAAAATCTAACAACTTAAATATTGTGGAGGGGAATGGTTAATTATGGCATATCCATATATAGTAATTTAGAAAACATTCATAATTGAAAGTTAAATGAAAAATGTATAGTATGATATAGTATGTTACTGCTTATTATGATGCGTGTGTACATACACATGTTTACTGCTCTTTGTTTTTTTCAGAGTGGGTTTCATGTAGCCCAGGCTGGCTACATACCTGAGGATGATCTTGAACTCCTGATCCTTCTGCCTCTACCTTGAGGTAGGTCACATGCCTAGCAAAGATCAGACCCAGCACCACCTGTTGGGCTGGGACCTCCAGCTCGCCCTTGCATCATCCGGAAGCCCCATTTCCCCCCCACCCCCCTCCCCAAACCCTGCCTGCTCAGAGAATCTCCAACAAAGAAAAGGCGCCAAAAAGCTCAGTTCCACATTCTTGGCGACTACTGCAACTTCCTCCCCTGTTGCCGCCAGCAGCCCAAGTCCCCGCCTAAGCATTCCAGCTTTGACAATACTGGGCACAAACCCAGCTTGTGGTGGACGCGTCATCATCCCTCCCCTACAGGCTATATAATCTCCCTGCTTTAGTTCGGATGCGTGGCTTCTCCTGCCTCGATCTCTGGGACTGGAGAACCCACCAGGGAGTTACTTTGCTGAAATAAACCTGTTGTTCTACTTTTCCAATTAGGCTTGGTGTGGCTTACTACATCGGCTGAGAAACCTATTATCTGGGTACAGAACACCGATTACCACCCAAGGGAAAAAAAGGAAATAAGACAGAAAATTCTTGAACTCCATAACCTGTGGGCTTTGCAGGACTAAATTCCCCCCAGAAGGCTCTGAAACAGTAATGATCCTTACCGGTGGAGGTAAACAGAAAACGCTTTTCCGACAGGGAACCACTGAAATAAAGACAAACAGAGGCACGTGAGTCGCTTCATTAGATGTTGGAGCCAAGCACAGCACTGCCCTTGTAGGATTCACAGACCCACCACCACCCCAGGCAGTGAGGATCACCATCCTGCCAGCTTTCCCCTACCATATTCATCAGTGTCTTACGGATAAGCTAACCCAGAAACTGTCATAAGTAAATTTAAAAAACAAAAAACAGGTGGCAAAGGCCAGACTCGGAGACATGACCTTTCCTAACAGCGTGGGTTAACTGTACAAACTGCATTCAACTGTGACATTCTCACACATGTGCACAAGGTTACATTGACTGTATTTCATCCCCATCACCCTCATTCCAAACGCTCCATGGCCTCCCCAACCTAAAGAGTCACCTACCCTAGCGTGCTTTCTATTAATTACTGGGACAAACACCATCTGGAAGGGGAGCAGGTTCGTTTCATGTTCTAACTCTCAGATCACACCCCATCACCCAGGGAGGCCAAGGCAGGAACTCCAGACAGAAACCTGCAGGTGAGAACTGAAGTAGAGGACATGAAGGAACGCTGCTCACTGGCTGGCTCGGCCTGCTTCCTTACACAACCTGCCCAGGGCTGGCACCACCCAGGACACCGGGCACTGCCACATCAATCATCGACCGAGAAAATACCCCAGTCTCGCCCACAAACCAAGTTGACAGAGGCAATTCTTGAACGGAGGCCCCCTCTCCCAGATGACCCCAGCTCCTGTCACAGAAAACCTGAGCGGCCCAGCCCCCTTCTGCTTTGCGGCTGTTAACCTTAAGCTCTTGTTATATAGCCCAGGCCTTCCTAGATTTCACCACGGTAGCCTAAGCTAACCTTAAACTTGCCGCAACCCTCCTGCCCTAGGTTCCCTAGCTCTGGTATTAGAGGCATGCACCATACCACACCCACATATTACATTAATCTAGATTCTGCACGTGAGAGAAAAATATGACGATGTTTATCTTCCCGGGTCTGGCTTTTCTTGCTTAATGTGATGATCTCTGGTTCCATTCTCCTGCAAATGCCCCAAGTTTATCCTGAACAAACCTCTTTTGTGTGGACACGCAGGTAGGTATCTTTGTGATATGCTGGCAAAAGTCCTTTGGTTTTATGGCCAGGCATAACTGGGTCTTATGGTAGTTTTGTTTTTAGGTTTTTTTGCTTGTTTTTTTTAAAGATTTATTTATTTTATGTATATGATTCCTCTATCTGTATATACACCTTTGCACCAGAAGAGGGCACCAGATGCCATTAGAGATGGTTGGGAGCCACCCTGTGGTTGCTGGGAATTGAACTCAGGACCTCTGGAAGTGCAGCCAGTGCTCTTAACCACTGAGCCATCTCTTCAACCCCCTTGTTTTTAAGTTTTCTAAGGAACCTCCATACTGGGATGAGAACTCAGCTCTTGTGATCCTCTGGGAAAGGAATGTTCTATTGGGAATAAATTCAGAATTTATCAAGAGCCCCCCTTTAGTCTGATATTTCCATTTTCTTTCTCCTAATGTCCCAAACTAAGAACTCCACTGGAAATGTGCCCCCCCACACACACACCCCGAAAGATCACATCAACTACATGCTACAAACACCTGCCTGCGCTGCCGGGAGGCACTAAAACATTCGATTTTGTTGCTGTCAATCGGAGAGAGTAAGTACAGAAAGGATAACTTTTGAACATGAAGATATAAGTCTCGTGAGATGGCTCAGCTGATAATGGGCTCTCTGAAACCCACGCCTCCTACAAGCTGCCCTCTTACAAGCCGCCCTCTGACCTCCACACGAATGTTATGGCATCTATGTGCGGGGGTGTGGGGGGTGTTGGGGGGGGGCGCACACCACGCACAATTTTGAAATGCAGTTAGAAATGTTTATAAAAGGTGAAGACCTGAGGGAGGGTTCTGCTAACCACTCTCTGCCTGGCTTCCTTCCCTTATCAGCTGGCCTCGAATGTGCATTTCACTCTATCTATCCAAATGGGGCAAAGTCACACTAAAGAGCAGACAAACCTTCTCCTTAAAAGCCACCACCCAGGGGAGAGCAGAGCTCTGAGGCGCCACCACGAGGTGAACGAATTCCACCAAATTACAGGAATAGGAAGCCTCCCTCTGGGCTCCAGAGATAGACAGTCTGGAACAACGTAAGGTAAACACAAAAGAAGGCTTCCCCTTCGGACGGTCAGAGCCTCCTCCTTGGGATGAGATCAGTCCCTCTTCCTGATTCCATTCTGGTCTCCTCAGAGGGAGGAAGTGGCCTGACCCCCAGATGGATCCCAGCAGAGTCTGGATATTTACTTTGGGGACCCTTCTTCCTCAGCTGCAGCGCTTCCTTCTCTGTTTTCTTCCTGAACACCAAACAATCGTGTGTGGGAACCGAAGTTCAATGACCGAATGTACGGTGTTTCCCCAAGGGCGCGACATCACAGATAAAAACAGCTGCTCCCTGAAGATTTGGGATCTAAACAAGCAGAGGAGACTGGCTTAGCATGCAGTCGACTCCCTGCTCAGAACAAGGATCAGGGAGAAATCACAAGGGCTAGGAGGAAGTACAGCCCTTGGCACAATTCTGGACTTTCTACTCCTACCAAACCCAAAACAAGACAACTTGTTCAAATAACGACACGCTATACCGCCAACTTCTACAATCCGCCAATCATTTCCATTTATGTACCTCTTTGGCATGTAAATTTAAACTGCGACATGAAAATTATAATTATGCATTAGGTCAAATTGCTACATGGTTGACTGAGAGAATGAAACCTACCTTTAAGCCCACCATTTTAATGTTTTTCTTCAAAAGTAAAACAAAACCCAGGCAGTCCACATTAAACTTGGTTACCCTGCTTTATTTTAAATGAAGCATTCAGACACACACAAAAACAGGCCAAGCATTTGAAGCCAAGTCTAGGCGAGAGAGCCTCGGGTCTTCCAAAAGAGCACCCAAGCTTCAACAGACACACAGAAAACTCCCCCAAAAGTCAAAGATCAGGCAGGCTGAATAGTTAAAGGTTTACAGTACAATGTTTAAACAATCAGATCTATCACGAGCAGAACATAAAATTTAATGTTCCAAGGTTTGAGATAGATATAAACCTAAAAATATATGTTGGCTGGAGAGATGGCTCAGTAGTTAAGAGCACTGGTTGCTCTTCCAGAGGACCTGGGTTCAATTCCCAGCACCCAAATGGTGGCTCACAGTCAATCTGTAACTGACTTCTGATCTTTTTGGGCATGAGGCATGCATATAGTGCACATATATGCATACAAGCAAAACACTCAGACATATAAAAATAGGATAAAAATCGTAAGTATGTATAGTATATGCATACACGTATATATATATTAGTTGGGTGTGGTGGTACACACCTTTAATCTCAACACTCAGTTGTTGCAAAGGCAAACAGATCTCTCTGAGTCTGAGACTAGCTTGGTCTATGCAACAAGTTCCAAGCCGGGCAGAGTTATGCAGGGAAACTGTCAGGACAAAAAAAAAAAAAAAAAAGGCAGAAAAGAAAAAGTGTGTATGTGGTATAATTTCATTTATTTTAGTGTTGACATCAAGCTTCTAGAAGCATCCTGCTGAGCATGGTAGTGCATGCCCTTGACCCTAAAGAGGAAACAGAATTCAAGATCAGGCTGGCAAACAGCAAGCTGCAGGCTAGCCTGGACTGAGACCCTTTCTTGAAACAAAACAAAAAAATTATCTCTGAGAAAAGAACCGCTTCATTGTTAAAACCCTTCCTGGAAAAGGAGGGCGAATGGGATCTCATGGCGGCGGCGGGGAGCACTAAACCCAAGCCTCTGGTGAATGGGATCTCATGGCAGCGGCGGCGGCGGCGGCGGCGGCGGCGGCGGCGGCGGCGGCAGGGCGCACCAAGCCCAAGCCTCTGGCGCTGTGTGCAGCACACCCCCTGTCCTCAGTGGACACTCTTCCGTGCATCACACCCAGCAGGGCGTGCACTGTCTGTCAAGGTCTTCGATCAGAATGCCTCCACCAGTAACCTCCTCCACTCCAGGTGTGAAGTCGGGTTTTTCTTTCTCCTCAGCCACCTGCCAGCCAGCCTGTTGGCTACCAACACACAGGCCAGCAGCCATCTCCACTCCACTCCTCTCCGGCATCGTTCCTCAGCCTCTGACTCTGTCCCCGCTAAGCTGCGCGCCTCCCTTTCACCATATCCATGACTGGTCGCTTTCATCAAGGTCACATAACCAACTTCTCTCCTAACCCCAGGTCCAAACCCACTCCCAGGAGCCTGGGCTACGACCCCAGCCTGGAAAGGGATTTTACACCCAGTTTTTACTTGTAACCTCTGAAGTGTTATTTGTTGTTGTTGTTGTTTTCCTTCAAAAATGTAGAATGTATTTTTTCTGAAAAGGTAACCCATGAGGTCAGGATTTCTATTTGACCCGCACATTTGTTAGACTGCGTTTATGGACCTGTTCGAAATGACATCGGACCCGTCAAACTCATGCTAACTCGGGAACCTATCTATTACTGATAACGTGATCCCCTACCCAGGTTTTCTGACACAGGGTCTAGATATATACAACCCAGGCTGGCCAGGAATTTGCAATCCTGCTTTAACCTCCCACATGCTGGAACACCACACAGTCCTGTAGTAAGATTTCTACCAAGCAAGATAGCCACACTCTTATGAGGTTGTCTTCATCAGAGTTACTACTGCTGTGATCCAACACCATGCCCAAAAAGCAAGCTGGGTGCTGCTTTTTCTACTCCTCAAGAAACACTCTCTAGAAATCTTTGGGTCGGGGAGGACTCTGTGGTTCTATCAATATTTATTTCCGTTCCCTGTCTTCTTCAGTATTAGATACAATTGGAGATAACCGGTAATTTGCTGAAAGTATAAGAACCCGAAAGCAAAAAGCATTCATTCTCTCCCACAGGTGCAGCTGGGCGTGGAAATGCTCGCCCCAGGGCTCAGGCCATTTTAACTTCTTTGTTGGCACAACCAGGATGTCATTTACCGCTACGTTTATTTTCCACATAAAGACTATAATCGCTATTGAAACTCTCGAACATTTTTAAAGATTTATTTCATTTTTTAAGTGATGAATGAAAAGGAGAAATTAAAAAGGAAAGGAAAGGACATGACTGTTCCTAGGTAGGGTGGAGGAGAAAGTTCACTGTAGATGAAGGGGTGTAGGAATGGGAAGGGACATCTGGGAGAGTGCAGAGTGGACATGAATGACCAGGCTGAGCTGGGCCGGCATGGGGAGAGGGGGAGGGGAAGGGAGAGGAGAGAGAGGCAAACCAGTTACAGTATCCAGGAGGCCAAAGGTGTGAGGGGAAGGGTAACCAAAACATCTGGCTTATATAGGGAAGAGCCTCTGGGGAAAGGACAGCCCAGTCCCTGGGCAGGAGAGTTCAGGGTAGAGGGCAGGGTATACCAGCCACACCCTGTAACAGGTAAGGACTGAGGGATGCTGGGAGAACCTGGCACCCAGGTCCAGCTTTGACAATGTTAAACAGGCACTTCAGCTCAGTCCAGCGTTTGAAACTTAACAGTATATGAGTGCTTTGCCTTAACGCATGTGCATGCCTGGTGCCCGAAGAAGTCGGATACCCGAGAGGTCATCGGATACCCTAGACCTGGATCATGGATGGCTGGGAGCCACCATTGTGGGAACTGAACTCTGATCCTCTAGTAGAGCAGCAAGTGCTCTGGATTGCCAGGCCATCTTCCTAGTCCCATCACAGACACCTTCACAGCTGACTACCGCTGGGCATCACATCCAGCTGCCCTTTCAAAACTGTCAGCTGATTAATTACGGCCTCAGGGCTTTCTCCTCTCAGAACGGAACGCAAGCCAAGTACTTACTGCCGGGAGAGCACACCATTGGCCAGGACGCCTTCATAATGACTGACGCCTTTGCTCTGCAGCAGGTTGATGTGGCCACCTCGTTCGTCGGCGATGATCCCCGCGTGGATGGCAGCTTTGCACAGTAAAGAGGTCTGAAACAGAGTGACACCCTCATTCAGCACTCACCGAGGAACACACTGGAAACAAAGCTGCAGTTGGCTACTTTTGTTTGAGTTTTTGTCTTTGTTTTGCTTTTTTAGAGACGGGCTCTCACTATTTAGCCCTGGCTGTCCTAGAACTCACTCTGTAGACGAGGCTGGCCTTAAACTCGGTGATCTGCCTGCCTCTGCCTCTGGAGTGTTGGGATTAGAGGCGCACCCACTGAATTTTCTATTTTTGCTTGCTTAGTCATTTACAGTGGTTGCCCGGCCCCGGTGAATAATGCCTCGCTCCATGATCATAACCTCATGAAAACTCCTAGCTGACAATCTGAACTGAGTCAAGGCGCTTGCCTTGTTCTGCCGAAATTAATGAGACCCTGCCAAGTGCCACTTGTGGAGTGGAAGAACCCACCTGCCAAACTGTTCACCATGCTCACAAGCAAATAAAACGGTGGCTATTTCTAGCCACTGGGTTCTGGGTGGATGGTTAAACACAAAACGGTAATGGAGCTAATCTCTTAGACTCGGTTTACAAGACAGACAGTCCCAAGCACAGTAGAAGGCAAGCTACGTACCAGTCAAGAAAGTGAGCCTTCTGTACCACAGTTTCATACTAATGCAGTGAGTTGGTATGGGGTCAAAACCAAGATGGCCGACAGCCACTATATGTGAAATGATTAAAAACAAACAAACAAACAAACAAACAAACAAACAAAAACAGCATTCATTTATTTCCTTTTCTGAATCCTTTCAGCGAGTCCAAAGCCTGTGACGGCTGGGCCATCGCAGCTCACGGGAGCCTTCCCGCATGCTGTGTAGACACAGACAGCAAGAGCAACAGACTGGCTTGATGAAGACAGGTTCGGGGGCACAGCTGGCTCTGATGGGAAGTTAAAGAATGACAAGAACTGCGGGGTGATCAGGTCCAAAGCTCCCCGGGAACAGATGTGAGTGGGAAGAAGACAGTCCTAAATACAGTCGAGCTGCGAGCTCTACATCTGCCCTGCAGCTAATTCTAAAACCAGGAGGACAGAGGGTCACGACCCTGGGTTTCAATCACTGGACTCGACTGTGTTCACGACGGTGCTGATTCCCTGATTCTCAAAGGAAAATGTTTCCCCAACTCTACGTTACAGCACTTGGAGAAGCAAGGAGATAGATGGTATTTGGAACCAATTACCTTGGAGTTGCAACACCACCAAGAAATTTGGTGGGTGTTTTTGTTTTTTTTGTTTTGTTTTTTGTTTTTTTTTTTTGTTTTTGTAAGAGACTGCATATTTCCCACCTGAGATTTGGCAAAGGAAGTCAGTCCTGCAACAACTGACCTCATTGTCATAAATAGACCGTATGACAAAAAGAAGCAGAGACCCATGCGGGTGACACCTTCCACTTCGGAAACAAAGCCAGACCTAGAAGGAGGAAAAAGGATGATGCTCCTTAGTAGAGACCCCCTCCTACATCTGAAAAAAACCTTCCCTAAACCTGCCTTCATTAGGAAGCGTTCTTCGGGGCGAAGGGTGCCAGTAACCCCAGGAGGACCAGAGTTGAAGGCAATTTCCAGCTCCATAGGGGGATCAGCCTGGACTACAGGCGACTCTGTCTTGGCAAACCAGAAACGTGGCTGGGGAAACGGCTCAGCGGGTAAAGCACTTGCTGTGCCAGTGTGAGGATGCGAGCCCTCGGATGCCTAGACACATACAAAGCCAGACACAGCCGTGCCTGTGATCCCAGCATTCCTAGGGTGAGAAGGGAGGCAGGAACAGAGGATGTCTGGAGAGCCGGCTAGAGCGGCGTACTCGGGCAAACCGGAGGCTGTTCGAATAAGGTGGAAGGCAAGACAGACATCTGGGGTTGTTCGTTGTTCTCTGACCTCCACATGCGCATTGTGACACACACACACACACACACACACACACAGACATAGACACACACACACACACACACACACACACTGGTGGGAAGGCTGGAGAGATGCTCTTTCAGAAGACCCACGTTTGATTCCCAGCACCCAAGTGACAGCTAACAACCATTTGTAACTTCAGTTCCAGGGGATCCTAAGTCCTCTTCTAGTCTCTGCAGACATTATATTCATGTGATACACAGACATCTATGTAAGCACAACATCCATACACATAAAAGGAAATACAAACTTAATTTTTGGTTTTTCGAGACAGGGTTTCTCTGTGTAGCTTTGTGCCTTTCCTGGAACTCACTCTGTAGCCCAGGCTGGCCTCGAACTCACAGGGATCCACCTGGCTCTGCTTCCCAAGCACTGGGATTAAAGGCCTGCGCCACCACAGCCTGGTCTATTTTTTTTTTTTTTTTTTTTTTTTTTTAAATCTCAAAAATTAAATAATAAAATGTGGGTGGGAAAATGGTGAGGGGATAGCTCAGTAGAGGTCAATCCCCAAGACCCAAGTGGCAGAAGCAGGGGACCAATGCTTGTCAGTGTCTTCTGACCTCTACACTCATGCTGGGTTGTGTGACTGCAATGGCCCCCACAGGCTCATACATTTGAGTATTTGCCTGCAGTGGGTGGAACTGTTTGGGAAGGATTAGGAGGTATGGCCTTGTTAAAGGAGGTGTGTCATGGGGCAGGGCTTTGAGGTTTCAAAAGGCCAAGCCATTCCTAGCTAGAGCTTTCTGCATTATTATTTTTGGCTCAACATATGAACTCTTAGCTACCATGCCTGCCTGCCTACCTGCCTCCATACTTCCAGCCATGATGGTCATGAACTATAACAAAGCCCCAATTTAATGCTTTCTTTTCTAAGTTGCTTTGGTCATGATGTCTTTTCACAGCAATAGAAAACTAAGACGTCCCACCCACAATAAATGAATGCAATGTAATTATTTTTAAAGGGACTATGTAGCACAGTGGTAGAGCACCTGCCTATCATGTGCAAGGCCTAAGTTCAATTCTCAGTCCCATCTGCAAAAAATAAATGCATAAATAGATGATAAATAACTAAATAAAACTTTAAAAAAAGATACTGCAGAGCTGGAGAGATGGCTCAGTGCTTAAGAGCACTGGCTGCTCTTTCAGAGGTCGTGAGTTCAATTCCCAGCAACCACATTGTGGCTTATAACCATCTCTAGTGGGATCTGATGCCCTCTTCTGGCATAAAGGCATACACGCAGATAGAGCACTCATATACATAAATAAATCTGCCTCAGGCATTGATGGGGGGAAGGCAGGCATCTCTCCCCTGTCCATGACACCCTAAGACAGATGAGTAATGGGGATAGCTCTCCCATGCTCACAACTGGGTCACTTACACCTTTGCCAACAGGGTTAGCTGTATTGTGCTGCCCAGATGAGGTGCAGGGTCCATTTTTCTGGTGCTGCAGCTGGTTTGGGGGAGGGGCAGCTCCCTTGCCAGCTGGAGGCAGCAGAGCATAAGGGGGAGGGCATCTTTCCCTCATCCTCACCGCCACACTGCAGATGAGGGAGGCGGTACCAGCTCTGCCCCTCTCATGCCTTCAAGGTTGGCTCATCTTCACCCCTGTCTACAGGAACAACTCTACTGTGCTGCCCAGGTGTGGCAGAGGGCCCGTTCTCCCGAGTACTGCAGCTGGTGAGGGGGTTTCGGCTTGTGCTTTGTAAGCTCTCATTTGTCTGCTTCCACTAAAAAACTTTCTGCACGGTAATGCATGCCTATAACCCCAGCATTTGGGAAGCAGAGGCAGGAAAATCAAGAATTCAAGGCTAGCCTCAGCTACATATCCAGATTTTAAGGTCAGCCTGGGTTGCATATGTGCCATAGCAAAAACAAAACAAAACAAACAAACAAAAACAAAACAAAACTCTCAGCTAGGGATACAGCCCCTGGGAGAAACGCTTGCTCAGCGTGTTCCAGTCCAGGCATCCTGGCTCGACTTTAAACGCATTACATGTGCGGAAGTCATTTCTCTGCTCTGGCTTTTCTTCCTAAGTCAACCAGGCAACAACTAGGATAGACTAAATTATCTAGATTATGTGGTATCCACTCTGGACGTCTGCCACCTTCTGGCTCTACCCAGTGCACCCTTTGTAGGGTTCACACAGGCTCGTCTGCCTCCCTGTGCCCCAGGATGGAAGCAAGTTAGCTACGGTCTGCTAGGCAGCGCTTCCCAATGCCTTGAATCATTTCTTCCTCAGAATCCTGTCTGGTGATGGATGAACACCTCAGGAGCTATATTCTCTACAGAGCTCCCAGTGACTGACAGACCAGAGGTCAGTGAGCAACATCACCCACCAGGGTAACTAGTCATGAAATATTCTGACTTCCCCCAAGGAAGATCCGAAGAGTCCGATGGTACACATGCCTATTAAGGAAAGTTTTAAGTATAGATACATTTCCCCATAATATTTAATGCAGGGCACAGGATACATCTCTAGGGCACAAGTCACCAGATCTGTCCATTAAATCATCACGATTAAAATGACCAGTATTAACCACAATTATTTTTTTATTAAAAAAAAAACAGCAAAGAAGCAATTCCATATCCTACAATTTAAGCATAATTCATGCTTATGAATGCCCCAGTATCAGTTTAAAAATTGACCTTCATTAAATCTGATTTAAAAAACCAAAACACTCCCCCTTGAACAACGAATACTTGGATTTCCCAGTTAGTTTTGCTGTACAGGTGCAGCACAGTGAAATGCACACATGGTCAAACCACATCACTGGTTTGTGTTAATTAGTGATTTGCCTTAGACAAAAATCCATTAACTAAACTGAAACAACAGTGTTACAATTCTTAAAGAAGCAAGGGGAACACACACACAGCTCTAGTTCTTGACGACAGCTTTTTTTATTTTTAAACTTATATTTATGTAAAGATCTATATTCCTTGCACATATTTAGGAAATATGAGAAGCACCCTTGCACTGTCCAGTTGACTTAGGAAGACATGAGGGGTTTAAGTGGGAAGCCAGCCTGGGCTACACAGGGAATTCAGCATCCACCCGAGTGTTAAAATCAAACACTATCTCAAAAGACCAA